TGAGCCGTGCGTTGTACTGTGGGAGGCGTCTTCGGTGGAAAATGAGCGTTACAGGGTTTTAAAAAATTTTGTGCCAAAATAAACTGGTATTTGAAGTCAAGTTTCCTCTAGACTTTTTGAAATCTCCTCCTAGGAATCATATCTCACTTTAAAAATGGGAAATATGGCCAGAGCCGTAGTTGGGTGGTTAAGGGAGCGACCAAATTTGCGGTTCAAGTCTCAGCCCTCGTGGCTTGGAAATATGCCAGAAAAGAGGAAGAAAAAATAGAAAAACAAACAAATACCACGCCAGGGACCAGCCAGTAATATGGTGGTTAAGGCAACTGGACCCCATAGGGCTGATTGTGAAGTTCGAGTCCTGGACCCAGAAGCTTGAAAAACACACCAGAAGCACGTATGTGCATGTACACCTCAACTCTCTGTCTTTCTATGTCTGTCTGGCAAGCACACGAGCCCTATAGCAAAAAAAAAAACCTTTCCGAAAAAAAAAGATGTATTGTTTATTTATTCATTTTAATTTGACCAGAGAGAGACACAGAGAGAGAGAGGAAAGTGAGAAGGCAAGCCACCAGGTCCAGGACTTGAACCATGGTCAGCCATGTGGGAGTGTCCAATGCCCTAACCTGCTTTCTCACTTTCTCTCTCTCTCTCTCTGGTCAAATTAAAATAAATAAATGAATAAATAAAATTAATTCTTTAAAAAATAATAATAATAATAACCAGGGACCAGCAGGTGGCGTGGTGGTTAAGGGCCCTGGCCTCTTACATGGCTGACTGGTTTGAGTCCTGGCCCTGGCGGCTTGCTTTCTCACTCTCTTTCTCTCTGTTCCTCTGTGGTCAAATTAAAATAATAATAAAATAAACAAATAAATTAAGTTAAATTAAAATAAATACATAAAATTAAAATACATAACTCTTTGAAAAAGAAAAACACACTGGGCACATGTGCATGCCCAAAATCCTGAGAGGAGAATGGAAGAGAAGGGACTGCAGCGTGCTCATCCCCTCTGGGGAGTGACTTCTCACTGTCTCTCTGACAAGTGCACATGCCCAGCGGTGAACTCAAAAACACAACCAGGCAAGCAGACACGTTTTCCAGGAACTCACGCCGGGACTCGAGGAGTTCCCTATGGTGAAATCGCACAGCTCACGCCAGGCCTGAGGGCGATGGGGCTGGCCCAGCCGGCTGCGTGCATCTGTCCCAGAGGGCGACAGTCACTGAGAGGGAGTCTTAGAAGCTGACATCTGGACCCGCCACACTGTGAGCTGGGAGGAGGTGGAGGGCTGGAAACGGTGTCAAGGGTGACGGAGCCCTGTTTCTGGCAGGAAAAAGTCCAGTTTATATTCAAAATAAACATGGAGATGCAGTGCTCTGCAAAGCCAGCCTATGTGGAAGGTTCCTGGTTCGAGTCCAGAGCCCTCCCTGACTATTTTTTTTTTTTAATTTGCTGTAGGGGTCGTGTGCGAGAGAGGGAGAGAAATCACCCCCAGGGGGATGGCTATGCCATAATCCCTTCTCCTCTGTTCTCCTCTCAAGATTTCGGGCACCCATACACCCAGCCCCTATACCTAGCGTTTCTCAAGGGATGCGAATCGCACAGTCGGCCATGTGGGATCCAGCTCCCTAATCCTCCACATCCCCTGCTGGCCCTTCCCCGAGTACTCTGAGCACTAAGTGACCCACGGCTGAAGGCTGGGAGTGGGGCGTGGACTTGAGACCCGACTGGGGGTGCTGTCCCGCCCACACGCTCGCGTGTTCTTTCTGTCTGTCTTGCTCATGGGAGCAATCAAATATAAACTTGAAAAAAAAAATAGATGTTTAGGGGCTGGCAAATGGTGCAGTGATTAAAGTGCTGAACTCCCACATGGCCAACGGCAGTTCAAGTCCTGTACCTGGCGGTTTTCTCCTTCTCTCTCTCTGTCTCTCTGTAGTCAAAACTAAAGAAGAATAATAAATAAAATTATATATATAGGAGAGGTTTTTGCTATAGGGCGCGTGCGCTCCCCTGAAAGAGACAGAGAGACAGAAAGCAAGAAATCACCCCCCAGGGGGGATGGCCACACCGCAATCCCTTCTCCTCCATTCTCCTCTCGGGATCTTGGGCACGCACACACACGCGCCTGGCATGAGTTTAAGCCACCGGGTCCGGGACGTGAACCGTGGTCGACTACATGAGAGTCCAGCGACATAGCCATTACGCTAACTGCTGGTCCCAAAATTAAATAAGTTTTTAAATGGATGCTGAAGGGCCAGGAGGCGGCATGGCGATTAAGGCGCTGGACTCCCACATGACCAGCGGTGGGTTTGAATCTCAGGTCCTTTCACTTTCCCACTCTCTCTCTCTCCAATCAGCACACAGACCCTATATCAAACTTTTTAAAATAAGGATGATAACATGGGGCCGGCAGGTGGCATGGTGGTTAAAGGTGCTGGACTCCCACATGGCCAACCATGGTTCAAGTCTCGGCCCCGGGGGCTTGCTTTCTCATTTCCTCTCTCTCTCTCTGTCTCTCTCTGATCAAACTGGAAAATAATAATGATAATAATAATAAATAAAGTTAAAACAAAAAGTTCTTTAAAAAAATAAGGGTGATAATAAATAAATAGTTTTAAATGGATGCTGAAGCAACACAAAATTGTCAGAATTCTCTGTGTGCGTCACTGGTCAAATAGTAGGGTTTCTTTTTCTTTTTTTTTTTTGGCTTTCTCTTTATTACTTAAATAGATGTTTTATTTTAGAATGGTTTTAAGGGTTTACAGGAAGATTGCAAAGATAGTACAGAGACTTCCCATCTGTTAGTCCCTACCCTAGGGACTCCTAGTGTGAATCCAGTTTTCCCTCATAGTAAGATGGAAAAGCAGGGGCCAGCGGGTGGCATGGTGGTGACAGCACTGGACTCCCACTTGGCTGACTGCAGTTCAAGTCCTGGACCTGGCAGTTTGAGACTCACCCTGGGTACCTGTACGTACACGCCCAAATCCCAGGAGGAGGGACCAGCATGCGTGTCCAAGATCCCGAGAAGAGAAA